AATCATTCACCTCCCAAAGTTGACCTATGTGTGCCCTACTTCCGTCGGTTTAGTTTTAATTTGGCTATCAACTGGTCAGGAGGCGAAAAAAGTGGATGTGATGTGCTGATGACAGCTTAATTGTGTACAGAATTGTTAGTTGTCATTTACGATTTCATCTAATTCCAAAACACTTTCAAATGTAAACTCTTGCAGAAAGTAGTTTATTTTTGTGATTATTTTGGGTCATTTTTAAAAGCCACAAAACTTGTGAATTTACTTACTGTTTACATTAGAAATGTTTGACTACGCTGTCTTTTTTGCCACATCGTTGTTGGATGCGATTCTGATTAGGTGACTGGCACTAGCTACGAACCAATAGTCAAGTACAATTTCCAAATATGGGTTTTCGGTAGGATTGCTTCAAATATTTGCTTTTAGAAGTCCAATAATTTTATCAGATGAGGTTGAATCCATTCATCAGGCTATTTGAAATGAGATTTGTTTCCATACGTGTTTATAAAGTGTAGGCTAATATGTTTAGGCGAAAATGGAGACACAAAAACGGTTTAATATAGCAGGTGTGAAAAACCCATTCTCGGGGCAAATGAGACTACAAAGAGTTTTGACTAGTGAAGAGGCCCAAGTACATGTGTTCTCGACGTTTCTTTTTGTGAAATTTAGTGATGTTCTTTGCTGCCCTCAACAAGTTCACTAAGGCTTCATTTGCACCATCCATTTCTTCTTACATAAATTCGGTTTTCCTTTACGCTTGCTTAAATTTTGAACGGTCATTTTTAAGGATCTCACGATTTCCAATCAAATTTGATAGTTGCTTGTGATTCTTGGGTGAGAATGCTTAAAAGTTTAATAATCTTAAGGCCACGGTGCGTATCATTGCCCGCAAATTGTGGACAGAGGTGTCAAAAACTCGACCCTAGTATTTCACCGTTTCTTTGAGACGCAGGCAACTCTTGGACCCGATGCCAATGGACTTTAAACGGACTCATTCATGAATCCAAATAAGTCAAAACACTCGTTTTGGTTGAGGGTGTCTGCTTTCCCAAAATTTAAGATCTGATCCAGCCTCACACAAAATTACTTACCTTTACATTTTACTTTAAAACATATTCAAGCTCTTACAGGATTTTTTTGCCCACCTGACAACTTGCTGTAAACGAAGGCATCACACTTTCGAGATGATCACTGTGTATACACGGAGTTGTTTTTCTAATCCACTGTGGTTTAAGTTGTCAGGTATAAATATTATACTCAAAATGCAAAGGTATATTGCCGTAAAGCCTTATATGACTGAATGTTATTTTGAAGTAAGTAGTGTATTCCCGACTGTCTTATCATTAATTAGTGCTAGATCATTCATGTTAGAGTGGTGCGACAAGACTTTGAACATGAAGTAATCTTAGCGTATAGCACACAATTTTCTAGCTATTTCACAAATTTAAATACTACGCAGATACAATTTCGGTATATTAATGCAGTCTTTGACACCGATTGAAGACACGCCACAGCGTTCAGTGATTTTGTACGCCAAAATTCCCAGCTCCATGCCCATGTGGTCTTCCACAAGATAAGCGATTGCATGGCTGTGGTTTAACTCTAAGATATTCATATTACATTTCTTTAAATCTTAGTGATACACTAAGCAAACTTATCTGCAAATGGAATAAATACGAATGTTCTTGTTCTCATTATCTACTTGATGACATGATGCGGTCTCAATAAATTTTTAAACAAAAATTGCAATTAAGGCAAAGGCTTTTATCGGAATCTTGTAATATTGAAATTGCTTGAGTAAATTTGAGCTAAAGTACATTTCGATTGGTGTATAAAATTGATCTAGACCCCGGCAAACCAATGATTGTTACTTACTTCCGATGAATATGTGAATAAGAGCAAATGCTACTTTTTCCAATTAGTGTATTGTTATGCTCACAATTTGTAAATTCCTGATTAAACAGGACCAATGGGCGATTGAATATTTAACCTTACAAATATTAATTTGGTTGAGATCACGAGGTCGTTATGAGGTTAATTCAAGAACTTTGATTCAGCCAATAAAATGCAAGGTTCTAACATGCACTATTTGAACTTTAGAAACAAATTTCAGGCATCTCTGTTCATAGTTCCTTAATGGATAAAGAACACTGTGGGAGCTGCATTCCCGATAAATGAGGTTTTATACTCAGATTTTCTGAGTGAACTTGAAATGTTTCCCTGCTAAAGTCGCACTTTTTGCCACGTCAAACGTGCCGCCAAGCGTATAGTGAAGTTCACCATTGGTAATTGTGGTTATAAACTGGAATACAGGAACCAAAATTGACATCTTTCAGGACTGTCAGAACACACTTCGCCAGAACAGAGTTCAAGCAGTAATTGATTAACCCAGATATCCTCCGAAAGCAACGTTCCTCATCACTGACCAACTCGAAGATGACGTGACGGTTGTGCACATGTGTTCTTTCACTTAATGGTCTGATCGTGTCTTGGAAGTGCAGAAAAGTATTCTCGTATATTTTTGATTTCAAACCTGCATCTTTCAAGCTGACATTTATATTCTGGTGTTTTTTCGATCCAAGTAGTGCATTTCAAGCCCCATTTCATAAAAGTTTTTCCTACCGGCTATTCTCTGCATGGATTGCACCCATACTGTTAGCAGTTTATGCCAAACCACTTGTTTAAATGAATAAATTTATGAATTTAGGCTCATCGGACAAGTCAGTCTGTCCGGGTTAGAATGCCTTATTTATGCGAAGCGTTCCGCTTTATCGCTTTGTGTTTTTATGCACGTTTACCAAGTCTGCGAGAATGAAAAGTTTCACCGCTCATTAACGCTTGCAGCCCCCAGCACTCCCCCTCCCCGAAATCATCCTATCAGAATTTGCTATTCCGGTGAGCTCCTGGCTGCTGCACGTGCACCGGAAGCAGCGCTTCCATTCGCATTAAAACAACAGCAATACCGGGCAGGACAAATGCCACAGGATTCGTAACGAGGGCGATTGAGGCCATGAGACCGCATAGAGGAAAAACTACAAATGTAAATCTACCTGTACGACGGCGTTACTAAATCACCTTAACTATGACTGGATTCCACTTCGACCGATTCGTGTTACCTTTTTCGAGTTTCTTCTTGAGAAAAACCCGACTAACTTCAAGTTGTGCTAAGCGTCTTAGAAATTTAGAAACCAACCGGTGACTTGGCCAAATTCCTTGTTAGCTTTTAGTCCATTCAAGAAATGTTCGATTGCATTGCGCAATTGCAAACGTTCGTGCTCGATTTTCCTGGGTGACAGAAGCATAAACTTTCTGGTAACATTGGCCTTTAAAATGTTTCTTTAAATATATTTCATGTAAGGAGTTTGGTACTTAAAAGGGGGAATAAAAACATTTTTGTCATACTGTGCTACATGAGTTTAAAAAGAAATGAGTAGTCCAAGACGTTTGTTGGGTCGTGCTCCTTTTCATAGGACAGATAAAACTTACGTCAGTCGACTTCGTAGTGTGCACTTTCTACATGATTAACCTCTCTCTGAGCAGCTACCTTCCGACATTGAAAATGATTATATTCTTAAAGCAGTAGGTAATAATCTATCAGTCGCACCGAAGAGGACGCTGAGGCTTGACGTTGACTATTCGATTGTATTTCATCATCTAATAAAATTTTCATTCTTCTAAAATTTCGGTGAATGGGATTCACACTTTTTGATAGGACGAGACAAATCAAACTGCATTCCCATAGCAATTTCTTTTCCTTTTCGTCAACAAAACGTTTCTTTTAAGAATTAAGAAATAACTGACGATAAATGATGATTTACGTATAAAACAATCAGAACAGATGCTGAAAGCATGTGAACGAAAGGGCGCATTCTGTGACAAAGGCTGAATTGTTGCATCCATTGAAAGTGCTGTAACGCGTTTTGTGGGATTGCAAAGGAATATATCGCCAAAAAATCACGTCCAGTTCAGGTCAAGTGAAGGGCATCAACTTTCAACTTGACAGAGCTACATCCCATGTTACTCAAAAGACATTGGAAAAAATGAGGGAGTTGAAAGGGAGCGAAAGACCCTCCATCACCCGCCGTAGTCGCCTGACCTTGGCCCTTCACATTTTTGTCTTTACAAACTAATTTGAGCGTCAGAGACATTGATTCTATGTGAGAAGTCAGAATTTAACTAACGACTTTTTTGAAGGAAAGCCGTGTAGTTTACACAAAGGAGAGGTTTGAAAACTTGTACAACCTTGAGCGACTTTAAAAACAAATGATGGCGAATACATTGGTGATTAATGAAACTATTTTTCATGGGAATGTGCTGTGTTAACTTGTATTTTAAAGCAGGCAAAGATTTTTGCACCCACCTAATGTTAATAATAAGCAATCAGTTAGTAAGCAAAGTAAGCTGTGTATGTGAAGGAATATAACGTGAAGATTTGGGTAATAACGTCATTTCTTCTTACGAATCCTTTTCATAATGGTCATTCTCTTCCACAAGATACAGTTAAATTAACTATTTACTATTTCTAAATTGATGACTCCGATTTTCTTTGGACACTCTTTATATTAAAGATATTCGGTAATTTTCAGTCAAAATACTACACAGCACTTAACTGTCAAGAAACGACCGTACTTCTTTTATTAACCTTCTTTACAAAAATTTGACACGCATTGTGTTTTAAAAATAAGGCTTTTAAATATCGTTCTAGTGTTTGACATAAAATATTTTCAAGGCTCATGAAAGGAGTCAAAAATAAGTCTAAAATGATATCAGCTTTTCAGAAAAGGAGGAGAAAATATTTTTTTAAGGAAAAGGCCTATTCATGACATTAATCATGGCAATTTTGGTAAAATGCATGTCCTTATTAAGAGGTTTGCCTCATTTTTATAAAAACAATTTTAACCCGGTTATTTCTAAATGATTGGAAGGAAAATAAGCGGAAAGTTGACCATGTCTTTTCAATAACGTGATTGTTGCCGCAGCTAAAAATACGTGAGCACCTTTAAAAAATGAATGTTTGTTTTTGGGCAAATATCTGCAACTCCTCTGAGGTTAGAAGTTTTGTCTGATCCGACAAGAAGGAGCCTGCAGCCTCTGCCCGTGGTGGGAGTATTTGCGTGACCAGGCCGGTCTCTTTTGAAATCTTTGCATACGGAACCGATGAATAAAAACAAAGCCCTTTGGGCACTCCTAGGAAGCAAAAAAATGCCACCAGCTATGCCGTTCTTAATTAATAGCAAAAACGTATCATATTAAAACCAAATTTAGTTCTGTTCTCTGTATTTCAGCGGTATCAGTTTTTGAGTAGACAACCAAGATAAATACACACCCTTGCGGTAGTGATTAGAGAGAATTAGAAGTTAACCTTCCCTCCCTCTATAAGTCACCAAATACTCCATATTTGTGGATTTGGACTAAAGACGATAAATGTGTTTGACATTTTCCCCAATTGTGTCTGCAAGTTTACATAGTTTTAATCCATCACCCTCAGTTCAGATTGGAAGGCATTTAAGTGCACGTGGGCGATTCCTTCTAGTATAATTCTGTATGTTGGTAAACCTGTGCGACTGCATTAAAACTACCTGCAAAAATGGAATGTAAGCATCACTGGCTTTCTACCTGTGTCCCCGAAAAGTTGTTCTTATTTTTATGACAAAATTAAAATTTCATGAGGCCTTGGCATCGGCCAAACCACTTTATCGTTTTTAATTTCATTGTTGTAGTTTAAATTGAACAAGCAATGCTCAAATTGCATCCACCATCCTTCTATTACAACAAATATATGAAATTAACTAGAAATTGGATGATTCCAAATGACAACTTGTATTGATTAGTAGCGAAAAATTTTGAAATCGGGTTTGGATAATTTGTGTTTGTAAGAATGCCCCACTTTTTTGCAGGTCGGAAAAGTGCACGCAATTGACCGAGATGCTGACCCGAAGAATAACCGCGTCCGCTATCACATCAACGACGAAGGAAACACCGCCTTTCTCGATGGAGTTCGTGCTAGTCGTTTTTTCTCTATAACTCCCACTGGAGAAATCTACACCAATCCAATCCCAATTGATCGAGAACAAGTTTCAATTCTCACCTTTTCCGTTGTCGCAATAGACAGTGGTGAGCCTCCACTCTCCGCTTTTGCCACGGTAGTCATTCGCGTCGAAGACATCAACGACAACGGACCCCAGTGGGTCTATCCATTGCCATGTCCACAAGCCACAAGTATCAACATTTCTGCCTATTCAACTGTTGGAATGATTGTCGCTCGCTTAGAGGCGATCGACCCCGATATCGGTGTTAACGGACAAGTTGAATACGAAATAATTCGTGGTAATGGCCAAAATTATTTTGATTTGGACCGTCACTCTGGAACCCTGTACTTGAAAAAATCTCTTGAACTTGGTGCACAAAGCAATTCAACCTCAGATCACGCCTCTCCCACGTCATTTGCATTGTCCTTGAAAGCCACCGATGGTGGTGATCCCCCACGCAGCAACGTATCGATTCTTCGAATTTTAGTCCAGACTATGGACGTCTTTCCACCAGACTTTACTTCAAACGACGGAGGCCGTTCTCATAGGAAAAACCAGCAGTTCTCCGCCAATGGCTACCTGAAGCAACAGGGCAATTACGTTGACCGTGACCTCTTAGTTATGATTGTAATGATAATAATCACCCTCCTGGTCTCCGTACTCTTGATCATGGCGATCGTCCTTCTTCGCTGCAGGCAGATCCACTCGACACGAGAGACCGGAATAGACCCACAGACCGGGTCAGGTGGTGCTGGTGGTGTTGGGATAATGCGTGTTGCGCAGATAAAACCACATCCCTGGCTTCCACCGCCATCACACGACTCCAGCGCTAAGTCCGGTTTCACCGTGGACTCTTCCAAATCAGGAAATGCTCCATTCGACGGACATGCACAGTACATGACTTCATCGGGTAAGAAATGCACCATTTGGGTCACTGTTTTTCAGCACTGAGGCGGTTCACATCAACTGGGTGCTTATCAACAGTGCTAACGCATGGGATTTCCACTAAGCTAACAATTCACATTCACTTCAGTACCCTAAGGAAATTTTTTTTATTCAGGCTAACGAATTTCCATGGGGCAATTAAAAAATGGCTAGAACCGGTTTAACCAAAATTTGGACCCTGTTAACACCAAACCACCTTAAAGTCCTTGATTTCGATGAAGCTCTCTTCTTTGAAGATCGTGCGGAGTTTCAATGGCTACAGCTATTTGAGACGCGAAATTTACCATTGTTGGTTGCGCATGGTTCGCCTAACCTTCCCCGCTAAACGAAACCATGTACCCTTTGTTTGTTGGAGCGGAATTTCAGAGTTCATTACATTGCTTGAATTTCGCACAGCCGATGACAATTTCCCTGAAACGCTGTACAGTAGATCCCGGGTCAAACTTAGTGATAATAGGTTTGCCCTGTGATCGAACCATTTATGGGGTCAAGTCTTTATGAAGCAAAAGTCGGCAACATTTCAGCCGATTTACTTTTTCGTATCAAAAAGGTGTTCGCTTGTTTCTGCTATGCGCGCTTATTTGTTCCTCAGCAGTTATCTAGAATCATAACAAACTAATGACTAACACATCAGACAAGGGTGTAATTCTACCTATCGAGTTCTTGATTGGATTTTGGAATCTATCCCCACAGTTTTAAATCTCGTTCTGCGAACACTCACCTTTGCACAAAACTTCCGCTGTTTCCAAATGTGATTCGAGCAGTTGATCTTTGACACTTCAACACACCTGTCAATTTGTGCAATGTTGACTTCTAACTTCACAGAACCGGAGAAGTCAATTCGTCTGGTCAATCTTTTCCTCAGGTACATGTCACCAGCATTTTGAATGGGAACAGTTTATCTCCAAAGTATCGACGCTGATTTGACAAGAAAATCTTTAAAAGTGTCGATCATTCAACCGCTTACTATGCTTGTAGAATAGCGCCTGTTATTGAATGCTTAGGCAATACTTTTAAGTTCACGAGAAATTTACAAACATTTCAAGTTTGTAAAGGCGTGATTTAAATGCTACAAAATCGGGAACATCTTTACTTTCCCAAGTGTCTTACTAGTCGCGATTCCACAAAAATTTGTTTTTATTTCGAATTTCAGTGCCTGCTAATAGAATTTATGGTTATAAATCTTTTGAGTATGTTCAATTCGATGCGATTTATTTTGTGCTTCCGATGAAACAATGTGAATGATTAATTTTTTTAAAAACTAATCTAGAGATGGGAAAAAAAAACTGCTTTCGGGAAAGAACTTATGCCGTTCGAAATGGTGTTTTCTCTCTCGTTTTCCGCGTTTCTACAAAAAATGTCGGTTTTGAATCACGAAACCGCGCTCTACTTGTTGAAAGAGAGCACGAACTTCTCTTTAAATATCTCACCTCCTCAATAGTTTAGAAACAAGCTCAACACCCCAACTGTCTGCTGCCATTTAACCCAAATAGCTAGTGAAATTCGTGCGAAAAGCCGGATTGTCCTTTGGAAATCAACTAGTTTCCTTTCGTTTGACGACTGCTATTTTTTTCCCTATCTGGCTCAGGGGTAAACGTTTGCCCACACTTTGTCATGTCACTTTACTTTCTTCACCCTTCTTCCCATGTTTGCTACCTATTTTTTCCCTGTAGTTACAGAAAGCTTAAATTTCCTTCTGACGGTCAGAAGCGAGCGCAGGAGATAAAAACTCAATTTTCCCAATCAGCCTAGTTTATGCTTTGTTTGGGAAACGGCAAACGCGCAACACGCATATAACCACACTAAACGTAGGTGCTGTCACTTGGGTTCACAAGACGTTTTCAGTTTAAACGACTGTAAAGCAAACTGGGTGGTTTGTGTCGGTGTTTACATAGCAACGAGGGTAAAATTTGCTAGAGCAGCACGCTTTTTATTGAATGTGAGATACATACGGTACTACTTAAATGCAGAAAATGTATACTTTTTTACTGCTTGTTGTAGTATTTACGTCCTTGCAGGAAGTTTATTGTAGTTTCCTTGTTAACCAGAGAAGCCTATAATAAAAATCAGTGTCACGAGTGGACGCATTACCTTCTCCGTTGAAGTTTTAATTTTTATTTTTTTAGACCAATTCGTGGCATCTGATGCAACCTTAAAATCGATCGAGGGTGTGCCGGTGGCTGGTACTTACGACCGATTCTCCCCTGCTGTAATTGTTTCAACTTCGACATTCCAAAGACCAAATCAGAACTCCGATCCGAGCTCAGTAGGGACCTTTGTTTACACAAGTAAACACGTCGGGGACAACACGAATCCCTGTTACATCAGGCAGGTTTGTGCTACACTCCCAAACAATGCAACCGCCAGACCTCTAACAGACGCTAGTGGACGTTGTTACATGACGCTGAACCCTGAACTCTACGAGATCGAACACCCATACGGTCAGTTAAAGTACCACAGTGGAGCATATCAGTCGCCAGGAAGGGGTCCGAAAACAGCAGGAATAAGCGCGATGATCAAGAGTACGCCTAACATTGGCGAAGTTGAATCGTCTGCAGCAGTCGAATGTGTTCGTAGTGTGGAACCACCGATGGTTGAGATTCAGAAACGCTGCCGATTCAAGATTGATTCTTCGGGAAGTCGACCGCTGCTAGCTTCCAATACGCCCATCTTTGATAAATCAGAAAGCACGGAAGGTTTGTTGGTGGTTTTTGTAATTTGCTAGATGTGTGCTGGTAAATGCGAGGTGCATTTTGCAAAGGAAAGCTCTTATTTTAGAAGCGATCTTTATTAAACCCTTAGTGGTCTTTCATAGAATATGTTTTCGAGTTATTCTGTGAATCGTTTACCAGTGCAACAATGAAATTAATTTTACAATGCAATTTAGGTTCAAAGAAGTGTTTGTTACTATGGCAATGGACGTACAATATCTTAAGTAATATTCTCTTCATTTGTATATTTTTTTCTAAACATAACTTACATGTTAATATAATAGAAGGAAAATGACGATGTAAGAAAAATTATTTGTGTCAAACGAACAAAAATACAGTTGGTAGAACTATTTCACCTATGCAACTGCTAACCATATCCTAAAACTGACTATGTTAGGTTGTAGTATATTGTATAGTTTGGGTATGCTTAATCACTCTACTAACTACAGCTGGGTTAATTATTCAAGCAAAATAACATTGATATGCACACAACCCTATTTACTAAAGTTGTGGGAACAACAAGTAAATCGGTTTTTTTATTGCTTTCTTCGTGCCTCCTGTACGGTAAATCATCGTGCGCGATGAACGCTCCCAAACATTTCGACACACCACTTAGATGTAGACAAAGTGCATGTCAATTTGATATTTGTTTTGTTCCTGTATTTTCACCATTTTATCATTTTTTGATTAAAAAACTTGTAAAACAAGGTCATTAAGTCCTGGTCGATGCCATGTATTTGCTATTCTGGCTCTTGTCCTGTTTTTGTCTTCTAACAGGTAATGGGAATCCACAGGTTTTATCCAAATTTGAATCATTGAAGTAAACGATTCGGTACTTTCTGGAAATTTTACGCATAAGTTAAAATGCAAAAGAATGCCCTCTTGAGGATTAAATTATTAGGTAAACAAGAAAGTTAGAGAGCATTTCTTTCTTTATCCAGAATGCGATTTCTTTTACCGTGTGGTTAAGTGTGTTTGGGTAGACGATTTTCATCCGTCATAGCTTTAATCTTGGTATGATAATAATAATAATAACTGGCAAATTGTTTCTTCCAGTTTTTCCTACATACTACAACAACTTTTTGTGCAAATGCAGTCAAATTAAGGCTTTCATAAAAAACGGTTAAAATTTAAAAATTTTTACTTAAAGATCTGCAGAACAGTTCGTTTTACCACCCCTGCATGCTGACAAATTAAATCCTTCGCTCAACGAACAAAGGCCATCCTACATAATTGCAGAGTAATCATTCTGTCCCTATTTTTTAATTTATAATTCTCCTTAATTAATAACTAGCAAAAAATCTGTGCTTTTTTTCAATGTTTTATTTAAGCTCTTTCAAATACAATTCAACTATTTTTCACTTTTTACACTCTTAATGACGTGTAGAATCATGTTTCATTACTAGGTTTTATAGGAATGCCAGTAATTTTAACGCGTTGATCAGCCACAAAAATACTCATCTTGAAAGACCCCTTACTTGCGTAATAATGTTCCTGAATCTGATTTTGAATTATAGAAAATTTTGACTACTTCTTTTTATTGGTCTGATAAAAATCTTTATGGGGCTGTTAATTACTCAGGGAATAAGTCAGGCGTTAGTTCATTTGTTCCAAGTGTTTTTGGTTGAATTCGGGCAGCTGGTAGTGGTCTCTTATTTGCCATTCATGTTACACTGGTTAATTTAATAATGACACAATTCTGTCTCGATTCTGCATAAAGTGAGCTCTACTATTGTTCATGAGTTCATTTTAATAAAATCAAATCTGAATTTTCTTACAACTAGTATTCGAGCTATTACTACAACAACAACAACTACTACTACTAATTTTGTAGTCAGGGCAAATTTGGGAAGAATGGCCGACTGCAAAGCTTACCTCACTAACATGCCTGAAATTATCCAATAAATATGCTTTTCTTTTCCCATATTCGTAATAATTATCTAATGCTACCAGCGGGCTACTTGGATTCTGGATATTGGGGTAGTTAATGACCATGTCTCTTCTCTTTTGCCATCCACATTTCTTAATTTTGAAATTGGCGAGATCAGACATTGGTTGTTACTGCTAAAATCTCGAGAAAGAACTGTAGCCATGTGGTGTTTTGGTCTTTACAGAAACGGTCGACGGCGAAATGGAGTTGGAGTCGATGCAGATGAAGCGTTTGCGCACCAGTTGCAACTCCGTCGGCCCCGAAGACTCACTGCTAGTTAATATTCACTGATCGACCAGCAGAGATGCAATAATGTTGAGAGCGAGCCAGGTCCAACGTGGTCTACTCCTGTATAAAGTAAACTTGGACCCCAATAATTCTAAATGCCTGTTGAAGAGGATCGCGTCTTGACCCCGCGTCCTTTCCTTATCAAATAGAAACTGCTTTTATAACCAGAAATTCTGTATTGCGGGTTTCAGGAATATGTAATTACTTAAACTGTCGACAAGTTGGACCGTCGGGGTAGATAGACAACGGGGCTGCCATGCCTGTTAATTCTCCAAATTGGGTGCACCGGCATGAAATAAAATACTGTTGAAGGTTCCGGCATGGCGTCTTGAACTACACAGGTACCCTGGGAAGACCGTGAAGACTGGAGATGGTGGGGGCACAGCTCAACCCCAGTTGTGCCGTTGTCGTGTACGTGTATTCAACGCCGTGCATGACTAATGTGGTCGATGACCAATGCAGTTTGAGTAAATTAGTTGAAGTACATGCGGCTGAAGGGCCAGCTGAGCGAAATGAGGCGGGGGGTGGGACATGCACAGGGGTGTAGAGTAGACGGTCTGCATGACGGACGGGCATGCTGTGAAAAGGGGGTCGGCGTGTTGACGCTTGCAACGGCAGTGTTGATAAACGTGAGTCAACGCGATTCAGTCAGTTGTTTACGTTAGTGTCCTTTGTGCCTTAATTGTATCATTTAAATATTCATGAGCGCTGCCACCGGAGAATCCGGTAATGAAACACTCCAGTTACGAAAACCACTTTTACTATGTCCATTGGCCGAAATTCTCTTTTAACGCCATGGCGGGTAAAGTGGTTTCCGCTAGAATTATGCTAATGAAACGGTCTCTCATGAGTCGAGATATTTTTCATTCCCCAACAAACCCTGTCTACACCAGCGCAATTAACTCAACTGACAATAGACAATTCGATACAGAAAAGTAACTATTATAGCTTTGTTTGCTCGGAAACCTGGTGTCTGGAAAAAATCCACCAAAACGAGTTTCATCTTAACTTACCACACTAAAACCTAACATATTTTTGCAGTTAATTGTGTATTTACAATACTAAGCTGGCTCGCATCTTCCCCCGCCATTAACCTTTAAGTTGCACAACAGATTAGTTCACAGGGTTAACTCGCTAGATGTGAACAAGATTCCTACTTACATATTATCCTTACGAAGAGAAGATTGACTGCAAAGGGCAAAAATCAAAGAACATGCAACAACATTTGAGTGTGACAGATTTGGAAGTTAATGAGTTACTTGCCATGATTTGTCTAAATCTAACGTAAGAACCGAAGTCGTTAAGTGTGTTCATGTAACGTGGCTTGAAATTCCCAAATTGTTACTGTCTTGGTCAAATCTTATTACTTCATGGTAAGTCAAATAAAATTATCAGATAATTACATTCGATATAATGATCAAATATCAAACAATCGTAAGCGCATATGTCGACTGCTTCTGCTTGTTTATAATAGGAAAATAGTCTAGAGAATCGTTCGAACACCATGGTCGAGGAACTTGAGCCAAAAACTACCCAATGTAAGATATATGCAGTGTGACAGCTAGTCTCAAACAGTCAAATTCAATATGATTGGTTTTCTTAAAGTCGAGATTTTAAAAATCATACTTTATTTAAATAGCTCATTTGTCTCAAAAGGTTTCACAAAAGAGTCACAAATCTGACACCCTTTTGCCCATCTAAGGAATCATTTTCGCAAAAAACGAAAACCGCTGTTCTTACGTCATAGGAGTTCTTTCGGGGGGTGTGTCATTACCCTTCTCACTGCTTAGCAAAAAAATTACTCTCTTGAAAACTTAACCTACAAAGAGTAACCTAAAGTGCAGAATTATTATCTCTTTAGACGTGACGCCTAGTTCAAAATTGTGAACACTTCCGGTAATCGAAAGAGCCAAAAAGTTCAAAGTTTTGACATAAATTTTCTACCATCAAGTCTTCATCCAAGCCAACTGGAATATATCTACTAAAATAATTGGTTAAAATCATTTTCTAACAGTGAAATGACTCTTTCTAGTGAAAAAAGATAATTTTGTTAACGAATTCGGTTTAAATTGGTACGTCTTTCCACAAAATGCGATTAATCATAATGAAGTCATTTGAGTGAGTTTTACGTGGGCATTACAAGCCGGGAACACAACTACACGTAATCTACAGGGTGTGCTTTGGCATTGCAGCACGTATCTTAACCAGATAAACTTACGTTCCCTTGCTCAATTTTACATGCAAATTCGAATCTACCCAGCCAATTTTTCGATGAAAAACTGGTGTCGAAAAATCCCACCTATCATTGTTGCGTCAAAAATCAAGATTCGTAGCATTTCATCTTCAATTAACGATAACCCAAGCATCAAAGCGAATGTTTGACCGCTGCGCGATATGCAACTTAAATACAGCAAACTGCTTCCATGTTTTTGCCTTAACTGCAATACAAAAGCAAACACAATACCATCATGCATTTGTAACCACTGTTATAGCTTAAAAAAGTAAAGTTAATAATCGATTACTATAATAGAGGAATTCAGTCATTCAACATTGACTCGAAGTTGTCAATAAGGTACACAATTTATGGGTATTTATATGGACTACCGAAATAATAGTCAGTTGTCGAAATTCTGAAATCAGTCAGGGACTTTTTAATCGCTGTCGAATATGCTAAGATTCTGAGCCTGTTCCAATGAAAAACATCGAATCGACCCGCCAAGTTGTTAACGATATATTTTAACAAATCGTTGGTTTAAAATGAATTTGCAATTCTGGTCAGGAAAAACGCAATGCTGGCGAATTTGTAGACCCATAATCAATGTGAAGATCTTGTGCTAATTACAGCCCTTGCTTTCAATCTCAGAGTCGTAATTTAATAGGGAGTACTAAATTCATGAAAGCAAAATGGAATGCACATCCAAGGTAAGGGAGTTCTTTTCATTGATGCGCCACCGCATATTTTTGGAGAGGCGAATTTTCAAAGGCTGCTGTAAATAAAATCCAATAATATTTTGACAGAAATTTACAGCAGATAAAGTTTGCATGCTAGGTGACATGAACCACCGGGTAGCAAACAAAATTATTATTTTCTAGAAAATTAGCAGCAAATTAAAATAACTTTTGCCGCACTACATGTGAACGTGGGAAGTTCGCAGTTGGAGTGGTCATTTAGACACAGAATAAGGCTTTTTGTTATATCGAAGTTTAAAGAGGACAATGTGAGTTTTTCAGTTGGAAAGTACAGTAGGGTCATTGTCGGTCTAGTTGTTTACTAGGGCAAGCTGATTAACATTAATGCGCAACGCCTGAACGCTTTACGCTCAAAAATTTAAAAGAGCCAAACAACACGAAGATGTTCACCAAAACGATTACCATCTTTAGAGGCCCTTGACTGTTAACTAGATAAAGTGCATTAATACTCCTCGCAGTTCATCAACACAGGCGTCTGTTGGCATCAGCCGGTTGAGGAGAGTAGTAAAACAGTCTATTCGGTTTCAATATAATGTAACGAAACTTAGCAGTTAAGTACACGACAGGCCCAAGATGAACCAAAGAAAGCAACATAATTTCAGTATTAAAATTATATGCAGTAAATTAATTAACTTTGTTATTTCACTTACCCTTTTTTGAAGCTAGAAAGGAAACGATTAAAATTCTATTCTAACAAGAGGGAAACGTTGAAGACAAAAAAAGGCTTTTAAGTATGTGATCCATAATCAATACCTCCACCTTACCCAAGCTTACGTATAAAAATGATTGAATATTCGACACAATCATTCCAGATCTTTCTATGCGTTTTGTTATTTATTCAATACCAAATTAATCGAAACGTTTATGAAAATTATAGCTCTTAATCTGTATTTCGACTCCTTTTTTATGCAAATTCGTCAAAGTACATCAATGTAGGGTAGCCTTCATGATTGTGCAGCAACTCAGTAAGTGATAAACGTTAGTGCCAGGTTAGCCAAAATATACTTTAACTACATTTTTCTAAGAACTTAAAAACGATAAATTCCTCACATTTTGCAATGCGAGTAAACACATTAAGGTTTCTAACTAAAGACAAGTATCAACAAGGCTCAGATTTGCAATATCCACAAAACAATTTTTACGCAATGCGAAAATCCGTGTAGACCTCGAACTTCTATAAACACATAGTTTTGAAGACTAAAAATTCAAACAGTGATAGCTGTGGTTTTCAAATGATAATACCATCAAGGTCGAATGATCAGACGCGAAGGTGTGAAGACTAGACACTTGTAGATTAATTAAGTCTGATTACGGATTATGGGCGTTAAAGGCAACGATATTTTGGACATTGTCAACGTTTGCGTTCCACTAAAAATCTCAAATCAGAACCCATAAATAACAAAACAACTATAAGTAAAGAATTATAGGATTTCAAATAGCCAAACGATTTGGCAAATATGATTAAAGCACATTGTTCCATCATAGTTGGAAAAAATTATGCAGCAAATCTAAACTCTCTTTTAATCACCTATAAACATGAACAATACAGTTTGTATGCGTCCTATAGTGTTTAACTGACAAATCAACCTTGCTTAGTAATGAAATTTCATCCAAATCCAGATCGGAGATGAATACCGTAAGGGTAATATTTCGGTTTCAACCAGAATTCAAAACACGACTAACCTATGATTAGTAATAATCTTTATAGGGAAATTATATTCCAAAGGAGCTTTCAACTAGGTCATTAAAATATCACCACCAATTGTATATTTTCAAAGAGAACAGGGAAATTCATGCCTTCAAATGTTAAAAGGTGTTTACATAAATATTAGTTTGCAGAAAACAAATTGCATTGTTGGTATTATAGAGCTAAATTTCGTGTGCGATAATGAATAACATCTAACCTAATTCCTGTATTGTTATTGTCAAGGTCACAGGAAAAGTCCAGAACCATAGTTCAAGTCCACAATCTCTTGGGTCTGCATGATAAAGCATTAACTGAATCCAGTCACATGACCTAATCACTTTCTAGTAACCACATTCATCAATGGATTTGGTTGCTATTTATTTTTCAGATTGTAGCTAAAAGACCCTTACATTTATTTAAGTCAGCATAGTTCTAAGAAAAGAAAGATTACCTGCAGTAATTTTTTTACTAATAACTACTAATCTTTTTAAGAATTAAACTTAACTAAAGGGTATATGTATTCTGGTAGCATAATGCTTTGTCATAACCGTTTATTATTATTATTATTATTTCAAAACGTGTCTCTAAAATTTTTATATTTGGTCTTCGTAAAGGTTTCTCTGTTCTTGTTACCACACAAATACACATTTCATTTGTTCTCTGATTTCCTTTTCATTAGCATTGAGATACGCAAACGTGAAAAGTATACCGTGGTTGTACCTTAAATTTAATACCTTTTACTTCCGCTAATGGGGTTCTTAAATGCCCTGAAATTTCTTCACATCAGTCATCTGACTTGTACAGCGGCATCACACACCCAAGGTTATAAAAACAGTACGTGGAAAACTAACTATGTAATGCATACAAATCAAATATATTTGAAGCTGCCTTGAACGGTTACCGTGATTGTGAACTAACAACAAAAAAAATATTTAGCCCACAAATACTGCATATGCTGACGATAACTTTGACACACAAGCTGTAAGCAAATATTCTAACACCAGATCAGGTTATGTTATATCTGTTAGTGGGATAAGGTTACGTTGTATACCTCCGATTCGACCAATGAGCATAGTGCTTCTCTTTATTTGGTGTTTGACCAGCAATATTTTAACTCGCCAATAACTTAGTTCTATCAGTTTTGAGGTAAATCCATTTGTTACATAAACCTTTAACAGTAACTCTTTGTTCAAGAACAGTATAAATTTCATCGGACATACTCAGCCACCAGTATTCTAACTTGCACGAAGTTTGCTAAATCGCACTGCGAGGGGCTTGTGTATCAAGATCCCAAATTAAAATCAAAATATTCAATTCCTAATATGTTGAATGGATCTTTTTTCACACTAGTCCTATCTCATGGCTAGAAGTCAAATTGGGTGTAGTAACCATAAAAATTTTATCTGGAAATGGTAAATACTAGATGGAACATTTTTCTTCTGTTTTGCGGACTTAACCTGCTGCCTCAGATACATTTTCTTGCTCCAAACAAAACAAAACTCTATGAGTAATCTAACTCAATCCGTTCCATAACTTTTGAGATGTCTATTTAAGTAAAATGATTTTAAGAAATCAGACTCAAAGCATTCCAAGATAAATGACCATTGAAACTCAAATAGTGTTGGGGCCCATATGCTAACAGACGAACTGTTAAGTTCGTACTGCGGTTGTCACACGCTTAGAATGTGTAGTCGATAGAAAAGCATAGTTTAATGCGTCTTATTAGTAAAATCTAACTATGATTAACGTAACTTAAGATTAATCCACCCCTATATTTATACTACTTAAATTACCCTCCTATAATACCACCTGACTCGAAGTCCACATAGATTTAATTTGATTTGGTGAGAATTCGCCGATTATTCGTGTTTAACATCTACTATTACTAGTAAGAATTGTTAATGTAACTACATGCATATTTTCTCCCGTCTCAATTGAAACTGCAGACTTAACCTTTTTTAACTATGCGATTAATATTTCACAAACAATTAAAGGTTGGTTAACTCCTGCTTATTGATAAAAACATTTGAAAATGTCAAAAATCGCCATTGACTGACAAATTCATAATCGGAAATTATTTCTGCTTAGTTATTTATGGCCGATTTGCAGAATGTGGCAGATTCATTGGGCTACAGGGTCTCTCGAAGTCACTCCAAAGATGTTTGGTAAAAACGTTCGAAGCGGCTTCCTTCTGATTGGTTTTGCTATCGTCGTGATTTATGAATGGCTATTACAAAGCGACTATACTGCTTTATTTAACTCATCTTGCAATGCGCAACACACACACTACATTTCGAAAAATTCCCTCAGTCTAATATTAGTCGTCAATACTTTGAAATACGCGGGACACAAAACCGTGCAGGTGACACACGTCACGCATGGACCCCATAAACGTCTACCGCATATTCGATCCACGCCACATTAACCGCTTTCGAACCGACGACCTCGAGGCCATACTCATTCTCCATGGATTCTACCCTTCCCGTGATGAAATCCAACAGGCAAAGGAAAAATACGGTATGCCCAAGGCTGTTTTAAATATGAGTCTCAACTTGACATAGAAGCGAATCCCTCGTCAAGTCGTGACGGTCTCGTTAAAGGCCATGAATCTTTTTGAATTCAATCGATTTGCTCATAAAATGTTGCAAAGCGAACTAATGTCACAATGCTTGACATAATTTTTGTTAAACATCTTGCAGCCGTATTTTTTTAAATACCTTGGAGTCAAAATAAACTGTCGATAACAAATCACTACGGAAATGTCCAGCAGTGGTATCCTAACTAAATGTCACCTAAAGTCAGCTACTAAGACATGGAAATTGATCAAAGCATTATGTAATTTGGTACTACGGGAAACTTCACGCCTTGAGCCTTTTTGACCCAGAAATAATTTGCAATACGACACTCCACGGATCAATCGAAGTGCTTAGTTCGTTGCAAAGATACAAATAGCCCGATCCCAGTGTATTAGATGTCGATTTGAGTTGGTTTTGAGTATCTACCATTACTTTCACATGAAGTCAGTTCTGGTACAAGAAACTCAAAAGGAAGCATATGAATTCGGCTTGATGAACAATTAGCATGAAAACTAAGCTAGATTAGGCAGCAAGACGCAACCCCGTAAGAACATTTTAGGGCACAGACACCAAAACGTACTAGGGGCATAACTGGCGAACAGTTAAACAATTAAAACCCTACTCAAATCGATTACAGAGAAGATGAGTTTGAAATCGAAGGTGTACATTCATGCGAATAATGTTTTCTCGGCAGGAATCTACTGTGATTCCTGTTCCGTGACAACAAAACAAGACGCACTGGTCAAAACCAGCCCCATGTTCTTTCGGAAAATTCACAATTAAAGTGGTCGTTCGTGATTCCACTGTAGGTAAAACTATCCCAACTCTCCAGCCTCAAAAGTAATACCCATTCACTCATCAACTAACCAGCTTCCAATTGAATTTCCTGCGCCTGCGTGTGGCAGGCACCCATGTCTTTGCATGGACAATAAACGAAAGTTAGAAAAATGCAAAAGAAATATCATCTAGCACTAATATACCCCGAAAATAATTGAGATTCTACAAATAGTTTGCTTATTTTAAAAAAGCGTCTTTTCAACCATGAAGGTCCTAAAATCACCAGAACCCAGCTAGAAGACGAGGTGTCTAGATATCGCAAAAAGCCACCAATCGATGTGGACGCACATCTCGACGAAATCAAGGAGCTCCTCAAAGTGGAACTCGGGCACTTCCGAAGGGAGAACCTGGTGAATCTGTTTGCCAGTCAAAAGGTGCCTATTCCGGAGGAGAAAGTGAATGTTCTGCTAAAGGGAATCTGCAATAAGGGGATTATCGAGTTGCGCAGTAGGCTTTTGACGACGTTTCCTTTTTCTACAGACTAATTTCCTTCCTTCCAGGTTTCATAGACAGGCTAACGGAGCCGACTAGGAATGTGATAAAAGTTCGACCTGCCTCGAAGAGCCAGTCTCAGACACGCGGGAATTCACACGCACGCTAACGCAATACTTTCTAACTAAATAAATGTAGGGGCTGCAATGAACCAGGGCCCAGTTGTTGCATCAACAATATCACAGGTGTATGTTCTTCAGTGGTAACTTGATAGAAGGTTTGAAAAGCAATTTAGCAACATATCGAGGATTTACGAAATTTCAAAATCTTTCAGGTTTGCAGCACTGTTTATTTTCTTGACAAATCCCAACAACTGTTATGGACCTTCATTTAATCCAGTGTAAAAAGAGCCAACAATATGAGCACATCTGGTCATGGTTCCACCCAAACTCCAAACGAGGGAAGGAATAAAGGCTTTATTCAAAATCTTATGATAATTACTCGATAAAACGTACGAAAAGCAAGCATAAGTGACTTCAGTCCCGATCATCACCTAGAACGAATACAAATAAAACAATAAGTTAAACAGCTCTGAAGGGTGCTGAAGTGTTTCTATGGCTCCAAGAGGCGAGTCATAAAGATTTGAAAACAGACGCGCTAAACGAATTCTGGCGCTAAGGGTTACTCACTTCTTTGAGTTGTGACTAAAGCGAAAGTTTGATTGTCTTGCTCGCGATTGTTGCGACACAGAGGAGCGTGGCGGCGCCAACTGAGCAGAATCCTCCGACGCCTCGTCTGATGGCTGTGGACAGGTTTCCACAGCAACAGACGTGTTGACCGCATCCTTGCTCGTTGCGCTGTCCTCAATGTCATCCACTCCTTCACTCAACGAGGATAACTCAGCGTCTGCTCCGGTTACAGCGGTCTCAGCATCGACGTCAGCCTCCAGTCGAGCAAGCGCGGAGGCCTGATTTATTCGAAAGTCCCTCGAGAAACCGATGCGGACGTTGTCTATGAGTGGAGCCTACAGAAGGATAGCCAGTTAAAAACAAGCATAAGGGAGCTACTACTAGACAAAAATAGGGTTGATTAGTAGTACGACAAACTTGCGATTTTCACCTTAGCCTTCCTAGATAACTTGGCCAGGAGACTCTCGTATAATTCCACGGCGAAAGTCAACTGTGGAATCAGTTTTGCGTCCTTCATGTTGCGAGAAATCTGACGAATGAAAAAGGCGAAATATCACGGTCCTTCTCTGCAAAAATCGGACAACCCTAGTAAATATTTGCATACCAGAATTTTTGAGGGGCCTTGCTTTTTAGGCTTCGATACTGTACCATCCAATTTGGGCTTTTTGGGGGGGTTGACGTCGCCTAATGAGGAGAACTTTTCAGCTTCCCGAAGCTAAACGACAAATAATTCACGTTACTTATGTATTGCAAGTAGCAATTTGCTATAATACTAACGCCTTAATGGAGGTCTCGTATCCACCTCGTTGATACTAGCTCACCTGGATAAAGTAGACAAAAGAATACGAATGAGGCGATACATTGCGTCCAAAAAGCCGAACAACACGTTCGAATAAGGTTGGGAAGGTACCAACATTTCGATGAATCAGGGATATGTACTAAAGACAACACAAAAACCACGTTAAAACAAGCACAGTGGCATAGACAGCATATTTTGATGGATTATTCACACAACAAGCTAACTACAGCCTCCTTTAGTGTGAAAAATAAACGCCACTACACAAAAGAAGATTTCATCGTTAATCAAGGCCAGGTTAACAAATCGGTGCATGGACAGTGTACTACCAAGAAACAAAAACGAATTGAGCATCGAAAATTCAGAGATTTGTGACCTGAAACACGAAAGTGTGCGTGTATTCTTCTGAACAATGGTTTCCGCCTAGAACGAATAGCATCAACAAAACTGGATGCATCACAAGGACCGTTAAGTGTAAAAGAGGACAGAAGGAGACCGACGTGTTTGGTGAGCGTGGCGAGCAGGCTGAAGAGGCCAGTTACGAGGCGGATCACATCGTCGGCGAATGAAGACGGCGCAGGCAACGCCGTCTGGAGCAATTCGTCGACAGCCTCACCAAGGGTCAAGAGCATGCTGCACACGGCCTCCTCACGAGCTCGTCTGGCGTCAGGCAGGCTGGAGAACGACAGAGACGACGGCTTGGCCTTCGGCAGAGCAAACGCTCCGGTCACTGCAAATAGCAACAGCGATTCACTGCACTTGAGATGAAAAGACAGTTACGTGCTCGTGACAAGTACTGTTATCATTCCATGAAAGGAGTTACCTATTAACAACGACTCAGACCGTTGCATATGCGTTGTCGTTGAATCAAAACATTGTCTACACGAGCAAAACAAAATTTATTTCAGCTTGATTTTGGCTTCAAACAATGAAGTTTTAACAAAACCTGGCCCGAACGAAAACTCAATGTAATTTTCATTTTACTTATTCGGGTTCAACAAGTAGGGTTCTATCTACACGCGTACAAGGTTCCTCTGCTTGGGGAAAAACACGCATAGAACGGGAGAAACTTGAAGGACGACCAGAAAACTTCAGCCATAGCAGACAAGGCCACAAATTAGTCAAACGGCTCGGCAGAGGACACGACTACGACAAGTAGGCTTACCTAGAGTGGTCCGAGTGACTTCCTGGGTGAGGTAGTTCACGAGCCAGGTGACGTCTTCGAGGGCGTCGTTCAGTGCAGAGAGGAGGATTTGAAGCATTAAATTGGCCGCTCTCTTGCCAGTTACCACGGAAAAAGTGAGCTTCTTGTGTGGCGAGGGAATGCTTTTCTCGTCGTCAGAAGAGGCAGCACACTGGACGAAGAAATGAAAGTGGAATCCTATGCGGCTGCACGAAGACACGACGACCGCGTAAGCCACGTGAATTAAACAAGCAAATGGAAGTTACTTACATTGTCGTTAATATCACCGAAAACTGAGCGAATATCGCCAGCGAACAGGACAACGAGATCATCCCAGGTGAAGTCACTTGCTGAAGATCCAGTCGAGGAGCGTCTGGGATGAGGCCTTCCGGACGCCGAAGATGCCGAACCCAAGAGATGGGCCAGTTGAAGTGCCAAACGAGCCACCTGGGTGCCCAGGGGAGGTCCACCTTTGCCTTCAAAAACTTCTTCCATATTAAGGAGGCGCAGAAGCCAAACAAGAACGCGGTCCAAGCCGGAGAAGTCAGGAACTCGTGACACAGACAACGAGGGGCTACAATGTAAGGCACGTGGTCAACTTCAAAACTTCAACTTCACCCTACTTTGACTTGGTGAACGAGCATTTCAGTCCAAGTTGAATAATTTCTCTCGTGAAATTACTGGTTACTTGACATACTACCTATCAACGGCAAAATCAACAGTTTCCTTGCCTGCTGTTCGTGAATGCGGCCGTTGAGAGGACAGTACTTCGAGCTTCGCATAAACTGATGAGCATTGGAAGGAGAATGGTGAGATCAGCGATGAGGGGATTGCTACGGGCAGTTGGTACTGCAGCACGCGAGGCAGATGGCTGTGGAGTGGAAGATCTAATGGACTGGAGGCCGAGCGTGGACGAAGTGGTGGTGAGGATTCTCGTCACCCAACCCTGTACCAAGTTAGAAATGTATAATGATCTAGTTGATGTGTAAACGTAGGGCTCGTAAAAGATCAGGCCACAATGCTAGCTTTGTTGTATTACTTTACAAAATTGTATTTAGTTGCTAAGCTATATCCAAAAGCCTCGCCAGACAAATCGACGATGGGGAGAACTACGACTAACCTTGAACAATTTGACAATTGCGTTGAGACCACGCGATGCATTGGGTAGTGACTGTTCCAGGGTTTGATTGAGGTTACGACCAGCTTCATCGTCATCAGATACCGCCTCCAGGCCTTCTTCGTCGCAGACGCCGGTTTGTCCAAGCGGCTTTGGCGACACCACCACAGGGAAGAGGGCGCAGACAAGTCGATGCAGGCGGTGACTCCCAAGGTTCTCCATGACGACTGAGAAGCAAAGGGACATTGTTTGAAGAACCGCCGATACCGCAGCTTCGAGAAGTGGAGAAGGTTGGGCGTCGCAAGTGGCTTCAAGCCCGCAAACACCGCTTGAATTGGGATTGGGAAGTCTCTCGTTGAGGAACGTGTCGTAGAACCGAATTGTGAGGCTAGAGAAAAACGGCCACACCAGATGAGAAATCAGCTTTTAGTAAAATGAAAGAAACGAACACCCGAAACGGACATTCAATAAGCAACAAAATATCTTGGACAGTTATTGAATTGCATGCGACCAGTGCGTCAATAAGGTAGGCCATTATAAACCAGGTTTAATTCAAGAGCACAATTTTAAATCAGAGAACATTGAGTAGTTAGTTGGGGGTTGTACCGGTGTTGCTCAATGCAGATCCAAGATAATCTCGAAATAAGAAGAGTGGCGGAAAGCAAATCGCCATAAATACAGGAGAACCCACTGGACGCTTATAGGCGCTTAATAGTCAGGAATAACATACAACTGTAAATCAGAGAAACGGAAGAAAACAGACACCTGGAACCAGCTTTATTGGCCGGACAGAATTCAGGCAACATGACTAGGCAGGCATTAAGCAAATTGGTAGCACAGGTTGCAAGCACGGATTGCAACTGGTATTACTACTCAGCTTAAAGTGTTCAGTAATATAGGTATTTTATAAAAAAAGCTAGAAAATGAACCTTAGAATCTTCGTGATAACTCTGGTAAAAGCATCGCGGTATACAACAGAAAGCACAGGTTGCTTTTGCTGTTGCTTGCCACATGCACGCGAAGACAACTCTGAGAGACGCGCAGAGGTCGTCTGGAGCAGATGGAGGGCGAATCCAGGGGCGTCGCGAGCACACTGCAGCGCCCGATGAAGCACCCCACGGACAGAAACGATCGATTTCAGACTGGAGAGGAGCAAGGCTCCCCTCAGGCGATTTCCACCGTCATCAGACATCCCAATGAAGCAGAGGTTGGAGGTGCTCACAGCATTGACTTCAGGGGAAATCACAGTGTGGTCGTCTGGATGCACGGGACCACTCTCCTTGGTGTTATCCAGAAGCAGCTTCCTGGCAGATTCTCGTCGAGCAAAGAGCTTAGTAAGCTGATCCCACGAGGCGCTACATTGTAAAAAATAAGGATAGTGAAGTAATTTACGAAAACGCCTCCATTCGTCTAGTAAATTTGGTTGGTAGAATGGCAAAAAACAGGCTAAAACGCCATGGGGCAAATTACGTGGCATTTGTCACAGTTCCAAGTAAGTTTTTCGCCTCAAATTCAAGACAGGAGTCATAGAGCCCGAGGAGCATGGTTAGACGCGCTTGATTCAGACGTCCATTAGGGGATGGGCCAAGCTCTACGTTGGAAGCCTGAAGAAAGACAAAACGACATTCGAGTTAACCAATCAAGACAAATTCAAAGCGTAAAAAAGTCGTAGTCTACATTTGAACGTGAATACTCGTGCAAATGCGTAGCCTAACTGCAACCAAAGCACTTTCACGGCACATGCGAGGGCGGGACAGTGAGAGCTGGCATGTCAAAATCTCGAATTAGTTGCAAGGTTGCTAAGCAATGACCCACCAGTCCGAACTCATCCAGTGGCGTCTCCCTGAGACCAGAGGCCAGGTTCAACAGCAGACTCGCAGCTCGGTTGAAGACACGCATCGAGACCCCGCCACAAGTACCGGCAGTTGATTGGGTGAGCTCTGTGGCGAACTGTGTGAACTGGCTCGACGCAGAGGCGGCGTTGGGGCCGTTGGAAAAGTCACGCGCGAAGCGAGACCAGTGTTGGCGGAAAGCAGGAAGGCTCAGAATCACTTGAAGGCACCATGCCAGAATCTCCTACAAGGTATGTGATGAAGTGACGTCACTTTATGGGCCAAAGTAAGCACCTATTTCTGATAAACAATGAAGCATACCGGATGATCTCGGAAGCGAGGCTTGGAGTCAGGACCACCATCTGCTGAGACGAGTTGGGCCAACTTTAGGGGAACTCCGTTGAAGGCACTGGGGAGGACAAAGACCCCGTCCTTGAAGAGCGGTTTTTTCTTTGAAAGCGCTGGATCTACGCACGCCGCGAGGAGACGAGTAAAAAGAGTCAACACGGGTGCAGACAAACCACGGTTGTAGAGGACCACTTCACACAAACCCTATAGGTTTCAAAAACAAACGGCCGAATTAAAGCACAAAATACGTGGTATTGAAAGCGAATGAAACGAACAAAAAGGCAAGTGTGGAGTGTAAGTTACAAATACCACGAAAGACGGCTTCTTACCCAGTAGATGTCTGATTTGACTAAGGCCCCAGGATCCGACATAAGAGGACCACAAGAGGCGCCGAAAAATGTGGAAGAGATGAGACGATGAAGGAGGCCAACAATCTCCGTACACAAAGCACGGTTACGCTCAGGATCAGTCGGCAGCATCATCACTGCCTGGGCCACCTTGGGTAAAAAAGGACGATCGTTAATGCAGAACAATGTTAAAGCAGACCTCGTGAAGCAACTATGTTTGGGTTTTAGGCAGTTATCAGTACAACGTTAGCGACAAACCTGCAATTAGGCGTGAATAGTGGCGGACGACATCAAAAGGTATTTCGACTATCCCAAGTTTTCGCTTTTTTTCAAAGCTCCTGCAACATGAACTTGGTTATCAGACTGGTTTACTAATACGCTTGTGAATAAGACACAAATTTGTACGAAAGAGGTCAGTTATAAACCGTCACCATTTTCCTGTACTCTTAAATACGCACCGCTAGTTGCAATCAGGGCGTGGTGAACAGTGTATGATTTTGTTTTTTGAATATATTCAACTTTTGATAGAAGTGAATTCTGATGGAACTGCGCTAGACGTCATTATTACCAGTGTGCTGCTAGACGCGATATTTCAAGGCTTCATCGTATTAAAACCACAATGATTGGCTATGGCTGCTTAATGATAGAGCACCTTCACCGTGTTTTAACTATCATCGCCATTCTAATGAGCAATCATAGAAGGACATACAGGGACAAAATGGGGCCCACGTTGAAAAGAAACACATAAACCTCGGAAACGGAGCACTAACTTGGGTGTTATGGATTTGAGAGAACAGCGGACGGCCACGAGGGGTGATGATGCTGAGCGACGGCAAAGAAGACGTCCAGGACTGGCTTGCCGACAGTTGTGAACTCATCGACCATGACTGTTGGGAGGCTGTGCGGAAATTGTCCGTGCTAACCTACAACGCAAATCAATTCGACTATGAAAGATGCTATTCGCGTCCACGAACAGTTACGGTGGAAAGGGATGACGGCTACGCACTTTCAGGTTCTTTAGGAGAGTGACGAATCCCGCAACAGCGATCCGACGCACGGCCACATTGTAACTCGAAGACATCTTTCGAAGAACGACTACAACGTGTGACTGGAGGGAGACCAGGGGGTCCAACGACTTGGCGTCATTGGTAGAGGCGGCGACAACGAAGAGGGGCAGGAGGGCATGGATTATGGCGGTCGAGAGCTCCAAGGGGAAAGCGCCGAGACTGTCCAGGAGTGTAGTCAAGCCCGCGGCGGACGCTTCGGTGAACTCCACTGGACATAGCGCCGCCAGTTCGCCCATCAATTCTGCGAGGAAGCAAATGAATAAACAGTTACTGGTATTACTACCATGTGCTGTTTACACCTTGGCATCCCCACATCATCTGTCGCCGCGTTTTATGAGGCTGAGCAACTGCTGATTTGTCAAAACCACTGACTTCTTTTAAATTGCAAAATATGTTAGCGTACACGGTGGATCTACACTATAACAAATCCTACTCTATGTGCTTGCAAAATGGATTTAAGAAAACGGTGAATCCCTTACATTAATTTTTGCCAAAACGTAACTTTCTAATACAAAAGTTGGAATCGATCTAAAAACGAACCTGTCATTTGGAAGCAAACCATCTTCTCAGGCTCTGACCAGATTTGTCGAAGGATGATTGTGACAATTTGTTCGCGAGTTTCTGGAAGAGACTAAATATAGAAAATATGAGCATGGATTGAACTGAAACCGAGATTGGGTCATTTGGACATCCCGAAGCGGCCCAACGAGTCCGAATGTGACGTGAATTAGGAGTGGCGTAGTCGTAAAAAGTGTGAGAAACGAACGACAGGAAGTGAGAGGGTGGAAAGCGGCTACATGTACACAGCTGCAAAACATTAAATTGAAGACTATAGGTCAAAATCCCGTCCTGACTTGCGTGTGCATCGTTTCCAAAATGCAACAACACGAATAATGTTGAACTCAGGAGATTTTTACTTGATCACCTACCGCATCAGGAGGGGTTACTTGCAGAAGAGCTGGAAAACATTTGGTAGAAGTGAGTGAGGAAAACGGCAACGGTCATAGTTAATACGTCACTATCAACGAGAGGATGAAATCGTAGGTGACCGTTCATTGTTCAAGTCAAAGACAAAAATTGTGGAAGCATTCCCTTTAAAGCCTTAAACCACACAACCCTGCGTTCAAGCTAGAGAAGTAGAAGCACCTGAAATATTTCAGTCAGCGAGTTGATGGCCAGACGAGAGGCTCGCGACTTTGGGGATTGAGCGCACGGATGACGCTGGTGTTGAGGCAGGCACTTTCGAGTTGTGGGGGCCCGTCTAGATTTTGCCGCTGTCGACGCCGCCGCAGATTTGAGTTTGCCGTCAGCAAAGCCCATCGGGAAACCGCCGATTCGCCCGGGAGAGCTCGCTGATCTCAGCAGAGTGAAGCAGAACTGAATAAGGCCATTCACCGTGCAGCCCCACAGGGGGCTTGAACTGTTGCAAGGGGAAGATATAGTGGCTTGAAGTTAGTAGATATCAGTATCATGGTAAATCACGCAAATATCCTCCACTTACGCTGAAATTGAAGCTCCTGACTTCAGCATTGAATTCTCACACTTCTTCAAAATAGCAATAACGCTTACACATCAACACAGCATTACCTTAATTTAGATACTAAGTGAACTTAAGTGTCTTCGCTAGCGCTGGGCTTTTTACTAGTCTTGTGATTCGGAATTCTGACGTATCTTCCAACAACAACCTAATCAGGGACTAGGTACCACCAAAAAAACACCAGCATGTTCGACACCGGGACGTCATAAACAAAGGTATCCACATGATCACCGATTTGTATTTAACGTCGGCCACTTGAAGGGGTCAACCAGGAACCTATTAACTGCCTCACTTTCATGACTCAATCCAAGGTAGAAAGCAGATTTAAAAAATTGATAAAAAGAAGTGCAAACAGCACGAATGGTGGTGACACAAAATAAAGGCTTTTGCTTGTATTAAACAAATATGTCACCAGTAACCAAGAATTCGATCGATCGTGATTCCAGGTTCTGGGAATAAGGAGCAAACGTTTCGCAGAAACGCCGAACCACAAATTCGGCTATTCGCAGAGTATGCGTAAGACGTGGCGTTGGAGAGGTGTTTTTTCACCTAGGGGTTGGGGAAAACAGGCATAGTGGGGCAATATTTAAACTCGGAATTGGCACATGCATATAAAAAGTACGTGAGGCAAACAATAGAATTGTGCAAAAACGCGGATAGCGCTACATTGGAAAGAAAACGCAAAGTGAGACCATTCGATCAAACAGAGATAGGAGAGGGAAACGTCATACCTGGAGCGACAGTTTCGTGTTCCCTGAGAGCACCATTAATGCAAGGACAAGCGAAAATGTTTCAAGAACATTTGACAATGGAAGATTCTAGAAAGGGGGAGATTTGTTTCAATTTGCGCAACAACCTTCAGCGTCTTGACAATCTGTTCGGTAAGAAAATCATTTGTTTTTAGAATTGACGCCAGATTGACAAGCGTTTTCCCAAGAAGGTTCATGCTAATTTCGTCTCTACAATGGGGACATGGAAGAAAAATAGTAGGCCAAGTTAGGGCCCAGCAATCAAGTGAGTAGCATTGAGCAAACTGACGCAATAATCATCGATTTGGTTAGGAATCGTGGACTTAAACATCACAATGTGCTTTTCACCAAAGTGTCTAGAGGATTTTCTACATAGGTCACCAAATACTAACCAATGTCTGTATACTCAGAGAGCTTGAAGAACCTTGTTAAAGGACGTCGTTGAGACCTCAAGGGTAAAGTTGTGACAGTGCCAACCCACAACGCCCTCTATTTGCTAACCTATGACGAAATCCAAGCCGGACCGGCACAAGTACCTGCAGTCTACATTGTTAGAGCCTATGTTGATAAGCATGTAACTAAAGCAACCTGTGCCTCCTCATCTTAAAAAAGGAATATTTTTTCTAAAACGAGATAATGTTTAACAGGAATCTACCGCAAAAACTTACGAGTTGTGCTGATTATCCTCAAAGAGTGAGTTCAGTTTGATTATGGACATACCGACGAGATTCTACAGTGACAAAAATTCCATGTAAAATTGTAACTGAATTGCATTGTCGCAAAATAAAGGTCTTAGAAGCCATTAGGAGAACTGCTGACAACTTAGTCACATAAAATTCGACAATTTTGTGAAATACAACGATGCTTACAGAAATCAGCCTATTACACAAACATTTCAATTTTTGATAAATATCTCACTTAATCCATATTAGTTCATTACTGTGAACAGGAAATCAGATATATAATGAGAGATTTAGGCACCGACTACAGTGACGTAAGGAAATGAAAAAGGAAAACTGCGAGACACACCAGATCGTAAAAGCGCATTAAAAGGCAAATGGAAGCAGCACGATCCTCGGGCAACAAGCCATCCGTTTCGATGTATTGAAAAGCCTTCTGGATGATGGAGACTCTCGATGAAAGCGGTAAGCCAACTTTTAAGAAGGCTGACAATAGTGGATTCAGATTTCCCGGATTCCATCTTTAGAGAAAAGAGGACGTCAAAAATGGAATCAGTCAAGCATCAGCGCTGACTTCACCAAAAATCAATGTACGAAATGCCACCATTAAAACTGGATACAAAAGTTGGGTGCTTCAATACCTCTGTCTCGTGTTTCCTAACAAATACATAACTTCGGCCCAGACACGCAACCACACTGTCTCAACAAACAACATTCCAGCTCATGTGAGAAAGAGATGGAGAAAAACAAGCATTCAAATTTTATCGCAAAAGATCAATAATTTTGAAACTTTTAAAAAGGTTATTTGTGCAACTTACGAAACTGCACAAAGTCTGCTAACAATAGAACTATCAACGTCTTTCGATTCCAGCCTTGTTACCAGAGACGTGAAGATTTCGAAAACACTAGAAGGGAGAGCTATCCCCAATTGTTTATAGACCTACAGAAGCTTCTCAGTGCATTCTTCGGGCATCAGTTGGATCATATGATGGGAAAAGCGCTCTAACTTCCAAATCTCCATTGAGTCCACCTGCAAGTTTAAGACACGACTAAATAAAAATAGAGGCATACACACTGCATGAGGAACTCGGCAATTGATTCACGATATTCCACTGTAATGGAATTCTTCCACAGGTAACCAGTGACAAATTCACAGGCTTCAAGCATTTCCTCACTATTTGAAAGTTCTTAAACAATCACTGTCACGCACAAAGTTACCAATTAGAACACCCTCCAAACCAATGAGTCGGTCAGGAGCGAAGTCTGACGTCCATAATTCCTGTAGGACATTTTGGAGCTAAAACGAAAGAGAAGGCATCATGTTTTAAACTTCATGAGAATATTAGTGTGAAATTTGGTATAGAACACATATATCTTGTAGCGATAACTTATTGAGGAATTCTGTAGAAGAAATATCGAAAATTCAAAATCTATATAACAGGGAAGATACTTATATGTTGATGCTAGGGTCTAACAAAGACAAAAAATACATATTTCATAGAAGGTGGATTGAACGAGAATAATTTTGAAAGGACAATAATATAAGTTAATAAATAACAACGCAAAGCAACTGCGTAACATCTACAAAATCAAGAGATATCAAATAAGCGATCCAGAGAAAATTTACAAATTCAAAATGCAATAAGCGACATAGGTTCTGCAGTTTATAATGGCCGCTGTTTGCTTCAAACGTTATGCCACCATCAGAATACTAATTTTGAGTCATATAGTAAACTTGCTTTGAGGTAAAGTAATATTGCTAAACCAAAATTGCCGGAAACTTGTAATTACAGTAAGGTAAAATCGCGGCTAGTTAAAGAGAGTAAAATAAAGTGGGTTCAGTCATGTCCATCAAAAAGGTAACTTATGCTTATGTAGAAACACAAGAACTTACAAAGCAGCGAGGTTTGTTAGCTATATATTGGGTGAAATTCGCACCATCACCGCCAAAAAGACTTAGAGCGGACATTAGTGCACAATAAAATATAATGTGCGCTTTCAACTGAAAAATGTATAAGCTAAAAGGTAAAACACATCCCTCAAACCAAGAGTAATCTAAAAAATGCTTTTGTTTGTCGTAATAAAATCTAACACATGCTTTCTTTGTGACTCTATTTTAACTAATTAATGACAAAACTGGTAATTCAACTCTTAACGGAAGTATTCACATTTAAAAACGCGTCATTCCATCCTGACACTTGCGCAATTACAGGATGATTTGAATTACGATACAAGTTTCTGCCTTGTAGCTCGGCTTACTTATTCATGTGCCAAGAAACGGTAATATTTAATAAAAGCTGTTTTGTTATTAACACCTCTTTTTCCACTTCACAGGGTATCGAACAGTTTGATTCAAGTGTTGCGTACAAAATCAAAACTGAAGTTTATTTAAAGCCTGATCGTATAATTCTTAGCAAACCTTATGAGTTTACTATTTGATTAATTACTGCTACTGGCGTCTAATAAACATTCGTAAGCTTAGTACTAAATCTGAGACACAGGTATCATAAAACGTGCTGTATTACGTCTATTAATTTTGCGGAAATGCATGATCAAACATTCCTGCTAACATGCCTTCTGTGTCACACAACCTTGTATACACACATTTTGCAGGATTACACCAAAGACATCAATTATTTAAAATATTCCGGGATTGTCCAAGACGGCTTTAGCTAACTTGAATTCTAGAGTTTTTGTACTCTGATTAGGAAACGAAGCTTATTTTTAGACTGCCATTGACAGTGGTCTCGTTTTAAATACAAGGCGAAATACATTACCTCTGCAAATTTTGACGGTCATACACTTCGAGTACCAGAACTGTAGTGGCTAGAGATTTGGCACTACCTTACAATTCCCTAGTTAATAGACCGTAACTACCCGAGGAAAGGGGGAAAGGCAGCGACAGAGAACACGACCGTTTATTAGTATCACACCAGCCAAGTCGCTATGTGTGCGTATGAGTACGCCTGCGTAACAGGCGAATACTGACAGAGACCAATAACAAAAGTGGTAAGTCATTGGTATACTCAGCCATGGTACACGCATCACTCAGGAGAGGTGGCTGTCTGTCCACTACAGAACTTATAAGTTATGATTGTCTTTCAACATTTATACCATTCAAAACATCTAAAACCTCAATTCGACATTAATCTGTCTCAAAGTCCATATTTTGCTACTAGTAGACAACCAGTCGAACTATCACCTATTTGTTAGATGCCAAAGTTTCCACAACAACCGTAGTCATTATCGAGGTCAAGGTCGATTATAAAGTGACACCCGATGAAATGTATATTAGATAAGATTAAATCAATTATTGCTGCTTAGATATCAATACATTCTTCTCATGATATCGACATACAAAAACACTAAGTTATGAAAATTAATCACGTCCCATATATTATTTATAAATACTGCAAGCTATTTAATTTACATATTTATGAACAAGCGAAATTGAGGTAAAACATAATGGTCACAAGTAGTTGCAAATGACTTTACTGTGTGGTCCGCTAGCTTGTTTGTAGTTACCAAGAGAAAATTAGGACTTCCCTATTTATTGTCAGTTTATCTATAGGAAAAAGTGTTTTTTATAACGAATTCCTATAAAATAAACACGCGGTTACAGTCAACAATTAAATAAACGGAGTAACGAGAATCATTGGGAAATGCCATTTAGTGAGCAGAAAGCGGTCAATTCTATACAGTTGCATGGCAACACTGGTCAATGACTCAAGCCGGCACATTTACAAGACTTGGTAACAATTAGTTTCCACCTGTTCCAGTCAAAATAGCACTGCTTAGTAGATAAACAGTAAAAAGCGCTAAAAATTTGCATAAATTCGTCAATAAATTTACTGCGTAAAAACCTGTAGTATTCTTTCGCCACGGCATTCATACGTTCCAAAAGGATGGTGTCTGGTCATAGAAATCAATGGACAGCGTTTTGTGAACGTAATAGATGAGTGCTTTTTTCTTGACCATTAAGAGCTAAAACATCAATGACTATGAATATGTACAGCTATCGAAAGTACAATATTGTAACAATGGCACTAGCTTACATTCCCAATAATATCGAGAAGTCGAGTAAATATTGTGCAGTTAAATACCTTTTCCGTGCTGGATCAAGTTTCAGAAATATTCAGCAGTTTAGCAAGTGAATATTTTGGCAAAAAAATAGTTAAGCAATAGTAAAGTTAACACAACAATGTGCACAACTTTACGTGGCGTTTTTTACCGTAAGCGTTTTTGTTGCAAATTTAATTTATGACACCACTAACGAGGTGTATAAATTGATTTCGTTTTCAATTGCTTAAGTCCTCAAGCAATTAAACTAAAATAAAAAATTGTGCAATTTAAGATAAAGTAATTTTAAAAATGTTGTTTATTAAATGCACATAGTTTCTTTCATTATTTATTTAACATCATACACTTGTTTAACTGTATTCCAATCTAAATTGCTCTGTGGTGCTTTATTTGATTTTGCTGATGGGGAATGGCTGATTTGCACAAATTCATAAGACAGCAATTTTCCGACAATAACTGGGCTAAGGAGTGTGATGTATCCAGCATTTCTATTGTGAAGCTAAAGGAGATAGCGGAGTCGTTCTGTCAGCTAGATGTTAAATCAAAACTAAATATCATTCTCACCTACTGCAATTCTGCTATTCCTACTGATCCTGAGGTGAATTGGTTTTTGACATCCTGCCATGTTTTTTGTTTTGGTGATTTACAGTTGTATTGATAAGGGGCTGTGCTGATAGATTTTAATGCCGAATGATGTTTTAGTTTTTAATGCATTATGGCTTTGCATCTTTTTTTTTAAATTTATTAAGGACTCATTTATATATGTCTATTTACTGCTTGCTTTTAGATACGTGGCTAATCTTACTTTCTCTTAAATGCAATGCTCGTTTATTTGTATACTTATCTTCTCTGGCAGTCATATTGTATCCATCCATATTGTCATGTTCGACCTAACTTAATATCTTGCTGAAGTGACACGTTTGCATTAGATTTTATGCTGTAAGCTGATTTTTACAATATTTTACCTTGTGTATCGAAAATAGTTTGCATTATCCTACAAAACGTCGGGTTGAAATTCAGTCCCACTTGTCCTTTTTGTGCATTTTTACTACCTTTGTGGCCGGACTCACCTATTTACCTTATATTTTCTTAGATTGCTAAGTATGTAGAAAGCGTTACACTACAAGCGCTAGTTGAAGAAAATAGCTTTGTACGAGCCATCGCAACAGTCCTTCATAGCCGACAAAACTTTGGACACCTTACATTCGACATCTCCGAGACAAATGACACATTCGCTAAGACTCTTGAAAACTTGTCTTCGCATCATGCAGTAGAATCAACATCTTCCAAAGTTCCACTGCTTGCGGAATTACTTGATACACGAATAACGGATGCTGCGTTAACGCCGAGTTCACACCTTGGAGTGGTGACAAGCAACTGTCTAAATTCCTTGTGTGGTTTTCGGTTGCGTTGTAAAACGCCTGCTTTAAAAATGAAGGAGGCATACCTTGATCGTCTGCACGAAGAGTGCGAGCGTCGTCGCGTTCACGTACCCATTCCAGGGCGCAGTTTCGGCAAGCAGGAAAGCTTTGAAGATATCCCTCTTGATGGTCGCAATAATCAGCACCTCAACGATAACTCCCATCAGGATACAACCGTCGGGAGTCGTCGAGCTCCAAGTTTTCCTCGCCGTTCGTCCATGGCCCGGAAATCGGATATAGGCGACGGTGAAGCATCTGTTGCTGGTAGCCCTGGGCCGGCTGGTGCATCTTCGCTTGTGGGCTCAAGTGCTCGGGCCAAGCTATTGGCAATGCAAAGTCGACCAAGCGTTGCCTCAGGCACTAACGGAGCCAGTGGTGCTGGTGGAGCAGGGAATCCCTCGCGTCGGATGATGCTACTTTCCTCTACGGAAACTGGTGAACGAAGTTCTCTACGTCTTCTTTCTTCCTCGAGTACTTCAGCAGCTGGTAATCGACGCTCAGCAGGCATTAAGTTACTTGATTTTGAAGATCTACCTGCGACAGGAATTCAAGCTAAGAGATTGCGAAGGGGTAAGTGTTCTTAGTGCTGTGGTTTTAATATAAAATAGTGTGTATAACCATGTGGTCATGAATTATTTCATAAGAACCATACATTACTAATTTTTATGTAATTTTGTATGTGCACTCTTTTTTAAAGAATGTGTTCATATTCTGGCAATCAAATTTTTTATATATCCGCGATAAATTTATACTCCAAACACTTCCTTTCTGTCAGACCTTTATCATTTGCTTAAATCTTTAAGCAAATACAAAAATACATTAATAAAGTAGTTGGGACCTAATTGTGATCAAATGTGTAAATGCGTGATTTGAAGGTAAGTCAGTTTCCTCCTTCTTCCCTAAATTTCAGTAAAAACTGAGAACCGTGCTAAACAGTATTCAGCGTTTGAAAAATTGGTTGTGACCCATCTTTGATTCGTCCGATAAGTAGCCACAATTTTACGTTTTTTTCTAGTCAGTTGTGGTTTTGGTATCAATTGATATTGCGTTTGTGCACTTATCCTTACAAAAGTCCGCCTTTAATTTTATTTCCAATTTAACACACAACGAGAATCAGTACAGCGGCTTTTAATGCTAACATCGTTGTTTATCGGGGAATCCAAAGCAGGAATAGGTCTGCATGTCGAAGCCAGTCAAAATTCATGGCATTATGTCGAGACGTTTTTCTTCGTCCTTTTATATGGCGTTTGAACCGATACCCCAAGATTACCCTTAGTTTTCCTTTACGTGTGTATTCAATAATTCATTTATTGTCTGTTTTTTGGCTTGAAGAAAGCACTCAATTCACAAACTGGTGATTTAATTTGAATTTTAAACCTGTATCTCCATTGAAATGTTCCTTACTTCACTGGCTACCTACTTTTCCTAGTTTTCTCTGAAGCTGATTTGTGAAGTCTCCAATTCCTTGCATTACGTTAGGCACTTCACTTTTACAGAGCAGCTGGAGAAGGAGCGCGAGGAGAAGCGTCGTGAACGTGAGGAGAAGGCTCGTGAGCGACGAGAAGCTCGCGATGCCGCTCGTCAGGCTCGTCTACTTGCACCCGGAACTAATAGCAAACTGGCAAACCCCTCCTCTCCTCCTCTTCCTCTGCATAATCCTCCTCCCCCTCCGCCACCTCCACGACTGGCTGTAGCCCCTGCGAAGGTGCCGGAAATCGACGAGTCAGAACGTATGCCTCAACAACCGTGGACTCCTTTCGTTGTAGGCCCCGCCCGCAACCACCATGCCCGCCACCTCCCTGATGAAGAGGACGATGATGATGACTACGACGATGAGGAAGAAGAGGGTGGCGCCTCCAATGGGGCCTTCCACTTAACTGCGCCCAGGGGCTTCCGGTGCGTTATCTCATGGACCTCCTTGTCATTTAACTCGTTTAGGGCCCCAGCATGTGGTCTCAAACCACACCGGGGCCGTTGTGTTGGGTCTAGCCCGATTACACTACCCTGATACTCGTGAAGTTGAAGACCGGAGATGGTGAGACAACCGTTTGCTAGATAGCTCTACAAGGTTGTTGTCGGTGCGTCCCGTGCGGCTTTTACGCGTGTGTATTTATATGCCAAATATATGAAATTGCGTGAGCCATGGGTTTGCTAACATTACAAACGTGGAAAGCTTGTTTTTCCACGTGGTGGCTATCCAGTGTAAACAGGACACTATTCACGTTAATGTTAGTTTAGGTTCTTTGTATTTTGAAAGAGAAAATGAGGATGTTCTCGGCCACTGTGCGGTGGTTGTTTTTCTCCTAATCATTGGATGCACCGGTTATGAAACTGCCAACGTATAACAGTAGTTGAATTCTAATCGATGAATTATTCATTTTACTCAGTTAAAACTCACCTTTTACATCAAAATACATTTTCCAGGTTGCAGTATTCGCAACCCTGGGTTAATAATGTTATTTCCAAATAAAAAGATGTATGAGCGGGTAAATGCTTGTCGGTGCCAATGTTTTACGATGAGTAGACTACGATGGAATTCCAACCATCTTCAATGTATGCCAAACCCATCTATTTCCACCTTCTCAAAATAGGCATAGATTGTCTATGAAGTAGAAGACAAAATATTTGTTTATCAAGGCAAACAGTTATCGGTTCTAGTTTGGGGTATTAGTAAGGTCTGTTCTGCCACCACTGCCTTTGTCAGTGTTCTGCTGTATTTAACTTCACTTTATCTCGTTTAGGGGTTTTAATGAGTCCCTGCCACAACCCGCGGTAAGTCTGCAGCCTCAGCAAGCTGCGCCCGCGGCAACCATCGTTCTCAAGCGGTCAGCCCAGGGTGGTCATTTTGTTCCCCAACTGATTACAACGAACCAGTCAGCAGCGGTACAGCCGGGTATTTTCCAGGCAGTACCTGGCAACCCACGGATCCGTTTCATCCGTCCCTGGGCGCCACAGCCAGTGCAGGACAGCGGAACCGAGGCTGTGGCTGCCACGACGACGCGGTTTGTCCAACTTCCTGACGGTCGGTTAGCTCTCGCTACGGCACCTCCACAACAGGCGCAGCAGCCACAACAGCAAACTGTTTTTATCGCAAACCCTGGCACCGTGAGTCCTATCACCTTTGTCTCTGTCACCTCCAAGCGTCTAAGCAAATCACCTGTAACTTCCAAAACTAAGAACTTGAGATGCTCAGTATCGGGCGTATCCGATGTCGGTCTTGAAGGTGCAGTCAATGCGTCCAAAGGCGTGCCCATGCATCATAATCGCGCCGATTCGGTCACAGTCCTTTAGACCATTTGAATTGTACTCACTGTTTTCCTTTGGTTCCCGCTAAGTGCATTGAATGACAAACAAGCAAAAAGCTCACTATCACTGAACACGCGTGTCATTGAGTGGTTGAAATGGTAACTCGCTTAATGTGATCTCTTACAAAATACCCCCTTCGATAAGTGGTTACACAGTTTCGATTCGACACCTTCCAGCCACTTGACAATTTATTTCAGATCCAAATGGCAGCAGCTCCCGCAACCCAACTCCCCATCTCGCTACCCTCCACCTTCCAGGCAGCAGCTACTCCCAATTCTACTCAGGTGTTCGTTCGGACCCCAACTCTGGCCAACTCAGCTCAGAAGCACACTGTCGTGGTCTCCCCGAGTCTACCTCAGGCTGCCATTCAGTTGCCCCTCGCTCCCACAGCTGTAGTGGGGCAAGGTGTTCCTTTATCGACTGCCACGCGTCTCCAGCCTCGGGTATGTGACTAGTTGTTGGTTAGTTGTTTCTGCTTTGAATCACGTTACAGTCACCAACCCAGGGCTAGGTTGGTCGTCTTGGCTGAATAACACTGATCGACCTGACTTGTCCATTAGCCGGAAACCCGGCGGTCTAATGAGTGGGGCTATGACTGCCCTAGGTAGCCATGGGATCAAGTGTTGTGGAGGGATACTTAAAATGCGTGTTGGATTCAAGTGTGGTATCTATCCGTTTGTTTGCAAGGTGGTTTGAGCTCATCATATGACCGTTTTTACCCATAGCTCATCCAAATTCGCCCTCGAATGCCCGTTCCTTCCACCGGTGCCGTAACTCCCGCCGTAGCCGCCGCTGCCACTGCCGCCACCACCGGTGTCTCCCCGACGCCGGCGACACCAGCAGCGACCATTCCTGTAATCCTGCCCTCTTTGAATGCCGTGGCCAGCGGCACGTCCACAACCACCACTACCATCCAGCAACCTCGAATACTCGTGGCTAGTTCAGCCACTTCTGTCTCACCCGTGTCGGCCTGTTCAACTTCCCAACCGCAACAGCAGCAACCGGTGTGTACTTTGTTAGCTTTGCAGTCAAAGTGAATGTCTGAGCCCAAATGTTAAAATTGTGTCCTACTACCCACTATCAGGGGCGTTTCTGTTTTCCTCTCTTACACATTTATGTGAACTGCGTTCACGCAGGTTGTTTATGCATCGTCAGTCAAAGGCGTACCTCTCATTTCTTTGACTGCAGTTTGGGGTCGTTGCATTTTACTTTTTGAGCAGTTTGTTGTGGTGATGCTTTTTTTGCTGTGGAACCCACGCTTCAAACCCCACAGAATGCCGGGAAGGGTAGTTAGGGTAATCGGCATATTCAACCTATTGGAAAAAAAGAATACACAAATCTACGAACTAAGAGCCCTACTAACAAGCAATTAGTAGAAGTTCAGAGCGCAGCAACATACCGTTATTTCCCGACAATTTGTTGGCTGTATTTACCCTTTCCTTAAAATTTTGACATTCTAGCTTAGAATGGACCCTTCATCTTGTCACCTGTTTTCTTAAGGATTGAGTAAGGCGTAGTTTACTTGTTGCCTGCAAGCGTAAAAGCCTGAAAGTTAGGTGGCTTATTAAAGCAGTGTGCCCGTAAATATTTCTCCTCATGTTGATTCTTCGTCTAAATCATTTTCTTTGATCACAGCGTCGAAGGTAAGTTTAATTCAGTCTCCTGGTTTTTATCAGGCAAAGCATACAGTACACCAGCACATCCACAATTCGACAGGGCGCCTCTGCGTTGTAGGAGGGACGGGTCATCTTTTAGCTGGCCATACTATGATCGCATGCTATTTTCTGTTCTGATTGGCTTGATGTAAAACCCCCCTAAAGGAGTGTTTTGTGACTAAAGTGCTCTAGGAGTTTGATTCCATTTTTAAACTTTGTGTTTCTGCCAAGTCGCATCTTGAGCTGTGAGCGTGCTGTGTTTGTTGACTGTATTAATGCTAAACTTAGACCACTCTCTGTTCGCAGCTGATGAGGATAGTTCCACGGGCTCCACTAAGTACATCTGCCTCCCCCTCCACCGCTGTGGACGCTGCAACCTCTAAACCCCCCCAGCAGCCACAGGCGACTCCGTCGAGACCAAGGGAGGAGTTCCGTCTGACGACGACCCAACTCAACTCAATCCACAGTCTCTTTCAGGACGCCAATTGCCTCTCTCGACCAGACAAGGCTATCATCCTATCTTTCGTTAGTGGCCAACGTGGTAATGCCCTGTTCTCATTTTATTACTGTTTGGCAGCGCGAGATTTAAGGTTATTGTTTTTTCACGACCGATTTTGGATATCAATTAAACATTAAATCTAGTCGGCATAGTTGAACTCATCAGGTAGCTAAATATGTACTTAAGCAAGTTAACCATACAACAGCTATGTTCGTATATGCCTGGTAGCATTAAAACCTAAAAGGCGTCGAAACTTTTCATTTTCTAAAGTAGATTTTCAAATGATAAGGTTTTGTTGTACACACCTTATAGCAGCGTCTTTTTTCTGCATGTTTTCTATGTCGTCGCTGTTGTAAATTTTGAACTGTGTTTATGTTCACGGGCTATGTTCTCGTTTTGTCTGCACTAAAGCCAAGCAAATTTGGTCTGATTCCAAACCAACAAATCTCGAGGAGTTGTAAAACATGTAACCTAGTTTGTGTTTTCCAGATGTGCACAGTGCTGCTGACTGGTTTATTTTCGTGTACATTGTTTTGTCCGAATTCCAGTAAATCCTCACCCGGAGGCCGGCAGTGCACTGCGGATCCGCTTATCCGAATACCGAGAGCGCGTGATCGACGCGGCCTCGGGCAAGGTGATGGAAGTGGCTGCGGACACCTTCATCCACCTCGACTACGCGACGGGCAAGTTCGAGCGTGTCAAGTCCTATCGCAGTCTGCCGTCCGATCAACTCATGGCCCTTCCTGTACTCCCCGGCACTCCTCACTAAAACCTCGTCATTTTAAAGGTGTTTGTACATACCCCCGACCTTTGTCGTCAAGCATGTTGCTTCCCGTCTCCCCCCCCTCCAAACTCCGTCCGTCCTTCCCTTACCACCGTCTGCCCTTTTTTTCATTTTGAGATTTATGAATTGGTAATGTATTGTCTAGATACGCTTCTTGTGCTTGTTTGTTTGTGTGCCTGTGTGTGACAGTTTGGTTTACCTAGACAAGACATTCAGTTTTTTGCGCATTTAATTATCTTTAGGTATGTAGCACTCTGTATATAACTTTGGGTTTAACGTTTCATAGCCAATTGTTTGGCTTCACTGATACGAAAGACTCTGTTTGGTTCAGGCCAAACGGAATATACTCACCAGACTGCGATTTTCCACCTCTTATATTTTAACGTTTTTGAGCTTTCAGCATTCCACGTTTAGTTTGCATAAAATTAAATATAATCTGTCCACCAAGCCTTGATGTACATAGACGAATGCGAAAAGGGCGTTTAACTAAAAACGTAGAACAACTGCGAACCCTAATTAAACATCAATGTATATAATTCTAAACAGTTAACTATGATTAGCCCGTGTAAAAGCAGTCAGTCTAAAAGGGTGACGTACTGGAGTGGTGTGGCTCGGTGCTCCTCTGTAGGCAAACAACATCGAACTGACACTCAGGGAGCTAACTAGTTCACGAAAAAACGTGCTGACGGATAGAGTAAGCCACACTGAGAGTCATAACAGCGTTGGCAAATTAGTCCTGATCGACTCTTCCCTATAATTAAATTTTTCGACCCTTTTTGTCGGCAGCAAGTTTTAATCTACTCCGATCGGACCTGACGCAAAATTTGAGGTTTAGTATTAACACATGTCTTTGTGTGGCACTATTCCGTGAATCAAGCATGCTTTTTAAAACAATGACTAGACGCTATTTGCGGTCGTCGCTGCACACTTATAGACTGTTCAGCTCTTCCAACTTAATTCTTTCCTCCTTAGCTCCATGGCTTGGCGAAGTGGACAGAACGCAGTAGGCCCGATGACTCGTAGTGACTACGAGGATGCCTACAAGCGCCGAGACAAGCGGACTCT